TACTTTCAAACTATTGCATAAATAATTGTTTTCTTGTTGTCTATGTATTATTCATCTGGTGTCACGTTGTGATATGAAATAACTAGTCAGTATGTTGACGTACAAAAAATTCCCTAATATGAAACTGTGTAAAGTGTTTTCGCAGTACTTTTTGCATCGTAAATTTTTATGCAAAATTAAGTTATTCTAAGTTATCTATTATTAATTCATGTAGTATACTCCTTAAAACCTCAGTTCCAGTATACACGGAATATTTAAATACACGACATGTTAATTTATTTCAAGAGCTTATGACAAATGGTCAGCTTGACTGATTGTATTAATCGGTATTCATCAGGGATTTCAGCCTTATCTCAGTTTGATTATATTATAGCTATATATGCCCTAGGAGAAACGTTGTGGTCTAACTTCCCAGGAATAGGACCCCTAAATGGAGATTATTATGCCGTCAAATTAGAGCATTTACTAAACAGATATGTTTGGTGGGAGTGTTAACAATGTGCTTAGTCTTCTGAATTACGCGGATGGTAATGTACTGTTTTTAACGCATTATTCTTTCGAATGCTGATACACATCAAATTTTAAATTGATCATAGAGTATAAAGGAGGTTAGGATACTTACTGATTCACTTATTTTAGACAGTTAGTATCTAATGAAGCTTAAACACGGATCTGAAACTCTCGTTCAGTTTTCACCAAATTTTACCACTTGTGATTCAAGAGAAATATCCGTCTTCAAATCACTAGATTAATGTGCCACTTAGAACTTCTAATGACTAAAAAACGTGGGTTTCCTTGTTGGAATTATATACATAAGTCGTTAGTATTCAGTCTCAGGTACTTTGAAAGGATTATTCAATTATGATAGGTAGAGACGGTGAATTGAGTGTTGAGGTTCTGTACGATCGAAGTGATCAAAAGCTTTGTTATGTATGCTAGGCCACCACCTGTCCTCATGTACTATGCTGTCTGACATAGTAGATTGGGAAAAATGTTATTGGTAATCAAAATAACACACAATATCGGTCCACAAAGTTATCGCCTACTTTTATCATTCTGATTTTCACCTATATTTATATCTCTTTAATGTGAATTGTCGCACCTTGGATAAATTAACGTCCATGGTAGGTTTTACCTTTACGACTAACTGACATAAAACTAGATAATATAAATGAAATGGTCTCCAGATATGCAGTATGGTTATTATTTTCTGTCTTCCAGTATAGGCCGAATTATACGCTCGCCAACAAATTTTTCCATTGTGATGTTAAGTGTTTTGAACTTAAGCCTCAAAAAAAATATAACCGTTCACAGTTTGTAAAACGATATTTATCTCTTTATTGGTATCCATTAACATTAACCTTGTCAACGAAAAACAACTTGAATTAACCGGTGTTTTCCCGACTGTAGCTGCTACCTTGACGTGGTGGTCGGGCTTGCCTATCGTGATCACCCAACCGAGCTATACTGGCTGGAACATATGTTCCTGAAGGTTCTACCATGACAGGCAAGTCGATTGGAGAACGATGAGACTAAAAGCAGCTATCCAAGGTCTGAGGGCGAAGTCGTACTGCTGACTGACTGAAGCGCAGTTTGACAGCAGTAAAGTGTTTCCCTCGGACAACCAGCATCTGCAGCGATGCTGCCTTCTCACAAGGAAGGAAGGGTTAGAAAAGGTCGACCCTAAAAATATCACACCTCACCCTACCTGACGGATTTCCGTCTCCTTGGGTAAGGGTGCCCACTAAGGGCCTTTAAGAGCGGAGCTAATCCTCATAAAACCTTTCATAAAAAGGCCGTGCGTGACCTGCCTCAAGCAGTTGACCCTTGGGCTCTGCGGACACGCACTCAAGTCTCTAAGACCAACACTAATCTATCTTCCTTTTCAGGTCCCTCGAGAAACAACCTTCCACGGTGTGAGCAGCCGGGAAGTGACAACCGCCCTCATACCCATAACAGCACGCGAGACCAAATTGGTCGAAATCAAATCCTTCCTACACCTTCTAATACCTCGCTTATCTCCACGAATAACTCTTCTCACATTCCTTTATCACACTGCACAGCTAATGCAAACGATGTAAGTTCACGAAACGTCATTTCTGGTCTCCTGAAACCCCGTTCTAGACTACATGTTGGAGCATTTAATGTACGTACATTATATCAAATAGGGCAACAGGCTTCGTTAGCTAGAACATTAGAATTTCGCTCAATCGATGTATGCTGTGTCTCGGAAACGCGCATACAGGATCCTAGTAAAATCATTAATCTGATTTCGCCTTTTCAAAACAAAGAAGCATCCCGATTTACTCTCCGTGTATCTGGTAGCCCATATGCTGCTTCCCGGGGTCTCGCTGGCGTAGGTATAGCATTGAGTCGTAGTGCAGAACTAGCTCTCCTAGACTGGATCCCACTAGATAGTCGTTTGTGAGCTGTCCGACTGAACAGGACAGTAAGGATTCGGAAAGATGGGGACACCCGTCGTTGTCTCTTCGTCGTATCTGCCTATGCCCCACTGACTGCAGTTCAGACGAGGTGAAAGATGAGTTTTACAGAAAGCTTTCGGACCTCCTCAGAAATGTTTGGCGCTTAGATATAGTAATAATGGCTGGTGACTTCAATGCTCAAATAGGTAGACTGAGTGAAAATGAAAAACACCTTGGTGGATGTTATGGTGTCGCGGCTCAGAGAACAGACAATGGCGATCGTCTGTTGCAACTATGCTCAGATAATCGCCTATTCTTAACAAACACTAACTTTAGGCATAAGGAAAAGCATCTGTTGACCTGGCGACCTCCAAAGTCGTCTCAACGTTGGACTCAACTAGATCACATTGCCAGCAGCCACCGATGGAGGGGTTCGATAAAGGACTGTCGCTCGTTCTGGGGCACATGTTTATATTCAGATCATACCCTAGTGCGAGCGCGTATTTGTTTGAGGTTTACTGGACGTAGGAAAGACACCGTAATAAAGCATCTTAGGGTTTTACATAATGATAATCAAGCTAAGAAAATATTTCAGGAGGAACTAGAAAAACAGTTAGGCGACCATGCAAGTGATTCCCATCCAGAGGCAGGTTGGATTGATACCAAGAAGGCTGTGGAAACAGCAGTGATATCTGCTAGTAAGATAAACCATGAGTCTAGAAAGAATCCGTGGATCTCAATAGCATCTACCGAACTGACGGATGCCCGAAAACTCATCCCACCTGACTCTGAACATGATGAAGAGCGTAGTCAGCCTAGGTGCAGGCTGATAGAAAGCCTACGTAACGATCGCGAACGGTGGTGGATGGCGAAAGCAAAAGCGATGGAAAAGGCAGCGGCGATAGGCAACACTAGACAACTTTTCCTCCTTATTAAAGAAACCGGTATTAGGAACCCGAATGTGAGTGAGACTATTTCGGAAAAGGATGGTCTTATTATCCATTCTCAATCCAGGAGACTGAACCGATGGGCAGAACACTTTAGGGATCATTTCAACTGGCCACGAGCCACTCTTCGGTTACCCACGATCTCCAGTCATCCTGAATGGCAAATCGACCTAAGTCTCCCTAGTCTTAATGACGTTGAGAAAGCGTTAGGAAATCTGAAACGAGGACGAGCTTCAGGTCCTGATAGACTGACCCCTGAGATATTCAGGGATGGTGGTCCAGTTTTAGCAGCTAGATTGACTGAGATCTTAGGTAGCATCTGGGAACTGGACGTAATCCCATCCGACTGGTCTCAATCGCTGATTGTCCCAAGTCTTCTTGTGACAATCACAGGGGAATAAGTCTAACTAATATAGTTTCTAAATTGTTAGCCTCGATTATACTTAGACGTCTAACTAGAGCTCGTGAAGAGCAGACTCGAGGAAACCAGGCTGGTTTTTGACCTGGACGTGGCTGTATAGACCACATCTTCACACCACAACAGGTCCTGGAACACAGACACACATTAAGACGTCCGACAATAGTCGTGTTCGTGGATCTAAAAGCGGCATTTGACTCAGTGGATCGTGAGGTTCTGTGGCAGTGTCTGTCATTGAAAGGTGTACCAAAGAAGTACATTAACCTTATACAAGCTCTCTACTCTAACAATACTGGTCGAGTGAGAGCTTATAGTGAACTGTCACCGGAATTCTTTACTTCAAGTGGTGCCCGTCAGGGATGTCCACTCTCTCCATTCTTGTTTAATTTTATCATAGACATGCCCTTAGAAATAACATTATCCTCGTCTGAATTTTCTGGAGTAGACCTACCAGGTGGCTCGCTTATTGACTTAGAATATGCCGATGACATAGTCCTACTTGGTGAAGACGCTGACAAAGTGCAAAGTCTTCTGACTACCATAAGCAACAATGCAAGCATGTTCGGGATGCGGTTTTCCCCCTCGAAATGCAAAATGTTGCTTCAAGATTGGGTTTCATCGGCACCTGAACTAGTAGTGATGGGAAGTAAAGTAGTCGAACGTGTAGACCGCTTTACTTATCTGGGGAGTCTCATCAGTACTGATGGCCTGGTGACTGACGAAACCTAAGCATGGATACAGAAAGCTCGATTGGCTTTTGCCAACCTGCGTTACCTATGGCACAGGCGAGGTACTGTGCAGCAGTTCGCTCCGTCCTACTGTATGGATGCGAGACTTGGCCGTTAAGAGTAGAGGACTTCCGCTTACGTCTCCGAAGCATTGCTCGTGTATCCTGGGACAACCGTATAAGCAATGCTGTCGTTAGGAAACGGGAGCTAGGTAAGGATGGCAGACCGGTAGATGAAGTAGTGGAACCTCATCAGTTGAGGTGGTTGGGACATGTGTTACGTATGGCTAACCACCGACTGCCGCGACGAGCTGTTTTGTGGTGTAGGAGTAGGTTGGAAGTAAGCTAGTGGCGGCCAGACCAAAACATGGCAGAAATCCATGAAGTCACTGACAAGTGGACTGAGTCATGTTGGTAGATGTAGGCTACCTGGTTGGAGTCCGAGAGATGATGGTAACCGATGGTTAGAGACTTTGAGTGACATGACTCAAAACCGTTTGCGATGGCTCAGGTGCATACATTCTATGTGTTCTCTCAGATCCTAAACTTCTTAATTCCTCATCACCTTATCTTTTTCTTTTTAAGTTTATTTCACCAGATTATACTTCATGAATAATATCTTCGAACCCTAATCTCTCCGATTACTGCTAATACTTCTACTACCTCTACTACTATGGGATTAGAATTGACAATTGCGTCTTTGTGTTAAGGTAGTATGATGGTTAGAGACCTTGAACGACATGGCTCAGAATCGTTTGCAATGGCGCAGGTGCATCCGCTCTTTGTGTTCTATGAAATTCTAAGCTTCTGCATTCCTCATAATCTCTACCTTTCTCCTTCTAAATTTATCTTACTGAATTATACTTCTCGAATCATATCTTCGCTCCCTAATCTTCTCCGTTACTGCTAATACTTTGCTATCACTCTTGGATTTGAACTGGAAGTTGCGTCTCTGTGCTGATGGGGCATGGCAACCTGAACTGATGTACTTACGTACGAAGTTTTGCGTTGTATCTGTCCTGTTTGGCATGTGTTTTCAAATTAGTCCTGATTAGTTTTATTTCGAATCATTTTTTTGTCATCATTTTTTTAATCCCATATAGTCTCATAATAAATTTGCGTTCCAATCATCCTCTTGGGCTAAATGTCGTTTTCGAGTTATTGAACTCATTCACTCTTGGCGACAGTCCGATGATCCGAAGTTGGCGCATTTACTGTCGGTGATTCGTGAAGGTCAGTGTCCAGAATGGGCTGTGAAAAGATTACGATCTCGTTTGGTTTCCGAACTAGCTGATCATCAAAATAAACCCAAAATTATCGCAACACGTTTATGTACTCATCGTGCAGACGCTGAGGCTTGGAATCAACGCAAGTTAGATGAACTACCAGGTTTGTTGAGGGATTTTCATTTTATTGGATAATTTCGCCATTCTATGCAATGATATTATTCTTTTGTAGTTAGTACCCAGTCAGTAAGTCATTTACAACGTAGAACTTTATACGTACGTACATAATAAGTTCAAGTTGCCGTACCACATCAGCTCAGAGAAGCAATTGTCACTTCAAATCCCATAATGGTAGAGGTATTAGAATTATCAGTAGTAATCGGAAAGATTGAGGTTCGAAGATAATATTGAAGAAGTATAGTTCAGTGAAGTAAATTTAAAAGAAGAAAGATGAAGGTCATCAGAAATTCAGAAGGTTAGAATTTGAGAGAACGCAAAGTGTGAATATATTTGCGCCATTACAAACTATTTTGAACTGTGTCGTTCAAAGTCTCTAACCATCGGTTAATATGGTTTCGCGAACCCCAACCAGGTAGCCTACATCTACCAACATGACTCAGTCCACTTGTCTGTGACTTCATGGATTTGTGCATCCCTACCTAGAACTCGTTTCCTAACTATAGCATTGCTTACACGGTTGACCCAGCATACACGAGCAATGCTTCGGAGACGCCTATGATCGAAGACAAGCAATCTACATATGTCCTCTACGCTCACTGGCCATGTTTTGCATCCGTATAGTAGGACGGAGCAAATTGATGCACAGTACACTCGTCCTTTGGTTAGCGAACATATGTCTCGCCTGCGCCATAAGTGACGCAGGTTGGCAAAAACCATTCGAGCCTTCTGTATCTGTGCCGTTATTTCATCACATACCAGACCATCAGCACTGATGAGACTCCTAAGATAAGCGAATCGGTCTACACGCTCAATTACTTCACTCTATATCACTAGTTGAGGTGCCGATGCAACCCTATCATGAAGCAAAATTTTGCATTTCGACGGGGAGAATTGCATCTCAAACATGCTTGCATTGTTGCTTATGGTAATCAGAAAACTCTGCATTTTATCAGCGTCCTAACTGAAAACAATTATTTCATCCGCATGTTCCAAGTCGACAAGTGAATCTCCTGGTAAAAGTCCAATCCGTGAAAAATCAAAATGCAAGTTTCGTAAGTGAAAGCACGTCAGTGACAAAGGTAAGCAAGAGTAGATAATGTCGACAGTTCTGACGAACATCAGTTCAAGTAGTAAATTCCAGTTACAGTTTGCCGTAAGCTCTAACTCGACCAGTAGTTTTCGAGTAGAGATCTTGTATAAGATTAATGTACTTTTTTGTATTTTTTTCAGTGGCATTTTTGGGGTCGACCTTTTCGAACCCTTCCTTCCTTGTGAGAAGGCAGCATCGCTGTAGATGCTGGTTGTCCGAGGGAAACACCTTACTGCTGTCACACCCCTTTGCAGTCAGGAGTACGACTTCGTCTTCGGACCTTCAGCCGCTGCTTTCTGACTCATCGTTCTCCGATAGACCTGCCTGGCATGGCAGAACCTTTAGGGACATATGTTCCAGCCAATATAGCTGGATAGGCGATAGGCGATCCTGACCACAGAGTCAAGGTAGCAGCTACGGTCGGGATTCCTACATGGATTTTGTCGTACAAAAATGTCGCGATGTCTCTGTTATACGACTTTCCAGCTTCAAGGGAGATTCTGTGTTTTTATTTTTTATTTATTAGTTATTTGAACAATATGTGGACACATCTAACCATTCATATATAGATTCCTTCCTAAATCAATCCAGATGTCACTGGGATTGATCACTCAGTCAGTTTATGCACTCCATACTAATCCAATCATTCACTCTTCTGTGCTCATGATCGTGTAGGCTGATTGGTGTGTCTGTAATATAACATTCTCGATTTGTTTTTTGACTTCTTTGCTTCTATACTGTTAGTAATTGTTGAAGTGTCAATTTTTTAATCATCAGCTTATACAAAGTTATTTGGAACAAGTACGCAGCCTCTAACAAATTCAAGCCTATAAAACGTTCTCTTGAATCCACCACAAGCGCCCTTCCGCCTACTTCTATTTGACGTTAACATTAAGACGGTTCTGATTTCTTTTTGTCCTTAATGATAAGTTCTTAGTATATGATCATAAATATCATAAAATAGTCGAAATATGTGCTAAATATATCTAGGTGCTCTTTTTTCAGCCCAAATATATAAACTAGTCATAAAGTATGTTAAAAATAGAAAATATAGTAGACAATGGGTTTTTGATAACCCTAGAAGTAGACCCTAACCAATCTATAAACAATTCATTAAAATTCAAGGAACTGATAAGGAACATCTTTAGATGTTAAAATTCCAACAGTTGCACATTCAGTGCATTCAGAAGTTAAGTTCTCTTGAAGTGGTTTATCAAGCTGCTATTCTCCTGAAATAATTAACGTTAAAGTCCAAGTAGAACTGTAGATTAATTTAGTAAAGTTATCTCCTGTCTAGAGGTAATAGGTTAAATCGTGAGTAATTTCGAGTACATTTTAGACGTTTCACCTAGCTGATGTTAATATACATATATTTATTAGCTCATCAGTTAATGTCATCATGTCGATAATCGTTACAGTTTCCATAAAATCTATTCACTAATTTTCTTGTTCATTCATTTAAATAGGCTCATGTAAAGTTTATCGATCTCAAGATAAAGGAATTGGAAAAGGTATTTCAAATACAATGGATTCATCTTGTCCGGCTCCTTCTGTGCTGAATTTAAAAGTTGGTGCTCAAGTAAGAACATGTTCATTTGTTGTAGTCTATTTCATGCTGTATTATACCATTTAGAGAGTTTTGAATCAGTGATATCATTCTTACGAACATAATCTCGTGCACTGAATTCTATCAAAGCATAAAGTTTATCACACTTATTCAGTTGCTTTTTATCCTTTAAACTTTTAATAACTAAGAAGCAGTAGAAGAAAAGTTAAGAATAATTTCTAAATTTATACATGATACCTTATTCAAAATACACGAATCTATTTACTATTCTATAATATATTGTATATATAAAAATTTAGGTCATGCTCCTAAGAAACTTGGACACCAGCCGTGGACTTGTCAACGGTGCCCGAGGCATAGTTGAAAAGATACACAGTGATACTGGTCTTCCTGAAGTTCGATTTCATTCTGTAAGACCGTGTGGATCTAATGGAATCTTACATGTTGTACAAATTGAAAAGTGGACTATTCGTGGAGTTAATGCAGAGGAAATTGCAAGTCGACGTCAATTACCATTAACTCTGGCCTGGGCAATATCCATTCATAAAAGTCAGGGAATAACGTTGGAATATGCAGAATTAGCTCTGTCAAAGGTTTGTATTTTTCAAAAGTATTACAGATCAATGATTTTGTCAATGATAAATAATTTAGTTCAAATTAATTATGGTTCATAATTGCAGAACAAGTACGTTCTCGACTCGTTAACTTACGAATTTCCTTTTCCAATATTGCTGTTAGCCTTAAACTCTCAATCGAGTATTTTCTATTAATAATGAGAATGAAGTTAACACTTTCAAATTACAGAGCAATGAGCAACAAATGAAAACTCCAATAAACCATTGTAATTACACTCAAACAACGTATAACAGAAAATACTATAAACCGACCAATCGGATGCACAAGATAGCTCAAAATAATGGTAACCTATTACACGTGCAAAATGTCATTTCTTGAACAGTGTATTGGTGATGATTCAATGTTAGTTCAATTACCTTTAGTTGTCTAATAATTCCCATCATATTAAAACACTGATATGTGAACGACCAATATTCTTTCCAATAAATTCTCTTCAGATTCTACAGTCATATATTCTAAAAGTGTTTAGGCTTAAGGCTAATACATCGTTTAAAATTAAGGATTGTTTGTAAAATGAAATACGCTTGTTAATTATGATGAAATGACTATTATGCAATGTTAACTCGAATTCTTTCAGATTTTAAATGAAATCAATGATCAAATTAAGTATTAGGTCAGATAGGGTGAGAGAAATAATAGTGCAATTACAAATTCGATCAAATGATTAATAATAGATAGTATATAAAGTTATGTGAATTCGATAAGAAACAAGAAAGCGGAGTGAGTGCTAATTACATGAATCATCACATGATCAGGAAATTATTAGTGATGCCAAACTAATGACAATAATAATATTAATGTTATAAAGATATGTTAATAGAAATAACAAGAATATAATAATATTTGACTAAAAAAAATTGTTTGTCATTCGTCAAATTAGGTCATTCTATACTAAAAAATTTTATTGATTTAAGTTGGCTGATGATGTAAAAGAAGGGGTTGAATTTATTTTTTTGCACACATAGTTCCGATATTTTGTGTAAGAATGCTTTTGTAATTATGTTTGTTGGTCTTCTTCTACTGGTAAGTGTTAATCCAGATACCATAACTGTAGAATGTGACGGGAATTGATCAAAAAGAATATTCTTTGATTAAGTAATTTTTTTAGACTTGAGAATTGTCGTTGAATTAAAGAATAGTTGGAAATTCATTACCTTAATTAAGCATAAAACAACTCTGCAAAAATTACTGAGCATAGGCAGAGGAATCCCTGTGAATCGCAACATTGATATGCATAATGGAAGCCATCATTCCATATTTGTCAAAGAAAATTCACTAGATAATTTCTTGAATATTTCTGATCATGATAGTATTTAGTGTAGATCCGTTGTTTCACATTGCTTTGATGTTCATAGATCATAAACTTGATGATGCGAATAAGAAAGCTTTTCGTAATATCACTAAAAATGGATATTATGTACTTAAACTATACGTTATCTTACTGTCAATCATGATTTACCTACTTGCATTTCTCAGTTGTTTACTTCTGTGTTCATCTCATTTTTCTGTTGTTATTCTGTCTGTAAGAATCTCAACTATTATTTCTCATCCCAAATCTGTTAATAAACTATGTTCGAATCCGATACCGTAACTGAATTCAAATATGCTTATCTTGTTTTATCTATCCAAGGTATTTGAATGTGGACAAGCCTATGTAGCGCTTAGTCGGTGTCGTAATTTAAGTGGTTTGTATTTACTCGATTGGCGCCCTGAAGTGATTCGTGCGGATCCTAATGTGATTAAATTTTATGCCAAAATCAGAGAGACCAATGATAAAATTAAAAACCAGATCATGTGCTAATATTTTTATTATTTTCTTTTTTTTCACTTTCTAAAAACAAATATCTTAAATTAATGCATTTAAATCCCTATTTTATCAATGAAATGCATATTTAAAAACGAATAAATTTTATATTGAACAGCTTTCGTTTAAACTACACAACTAAACCGACTACAATTTATGGTAACGAAGGTCTACACGACTTATTTATCACTGGACATAAAACGAAATCTTTACTAAGTCAAAACGAAAATATGATAACGAGTATGAATTCGATATATTTGGAATAATGATGGCTCCTGAACGACTAACTATCAGATGTTTATCTGGGAATTACTTACTTAGGATCAGCTGGTCAGTACTTCTAAACCTTTCTCAGTAGGCAAGCAATTTTTATTTTTAAGTCCTAACTAATTACGTGCATAAACGTTAGTCAGAATTATGTTGAGATTAAATAAATTTTGTTGCTAGATTCAGATGGTCATTTAACAGTTAGTTGTAAGCCTATTGTGTAAATCTAAATACGGAAATAAAACTAATCGATAAGTTCCCATTATATTCAGTACAAAGTTTTGGAGAAGAGTTCAGATTCGAATTCGGAAGAGCACGAATAATGGATGCACTTGCGCCATTGCAAATGACTTTAAGCCATGTCCTTCAAGGTCTCTAACAATCGGTTACTATTATCTCAAGAACCCCAAAAAGGTAGTCTACACCTACCAACACCGCTCAGTTTAGTTGTGAGTGACTTCATGGATTTGTGCCATGTTTTAGTTTGGCCACCCCTAGCTTTCTTCCAACCTACTCCTAAGTGGTGATTCAAAATGAATTTCTTTGTTTTCATTCTCTTCGTTGCCCAAACTGGCATTCATTCATGTATTACAATAAATGTTAAAAATTCTAATAATATTTTGTTGGTTTCTTTAGTTATTAAATATTAATGTTTGAGCTAGTTCATAAACAATTATCAGATGGTGCAGCTAATGATCACAGTTCATTATCTACAGTTAACTTACAAAATACTTTAAGGTTAAATCTTGTCAATAAATGTGACGTTGCTTGACGCGATTGTTGTATAATCGAATTAAAATCTTCTACACTTGATTTTATAAGAGCTAATAATCATTGTATACAATATACGGCATTAATTAAAATTTAATTTACATTTCCGTTGATCACTGCAACACGCATCTCAAAAGTTCTTACGGAACTCAAACCTATTTTAACAAAAGGTTATCTTGCTAGTTTGGTTAGATCACAATTTTAAATAGAGAACAATTTTAAATACTTAACTCAGGAAACTAATGCTCATTGAATAATACAGAATCTTAGCGAGTGAAACATCGTGAGCAACTTGAAAAAGGTCATTCGGGGCGAACACTTTAAAACACGAGTGTAGTTTCACATTCGAAACAAACTACATCTATATATAGGTGAGCATATTTTCAACTGTAAAAAGAATAAGAATAATCGATCAACATAGAGATATTTTGACTAATCAATACTATATGGTTTCACATACTAGTGAGTAAATACACAAGAAAGTGGAATTTAACACCGAATTATTATTACCTGCACACTAAACAAGACATCGTATAAGAATACAACATGTATACTATACACAAACATTATACAAAATAACTTGATGTAAGTATAAAGCATAACTGTAAAAAAAACATGAATTGTCGCCTACAAATGTAATTCAGGAAAAATACTAAATTAAATTGAATATGAAAACTGATTATCTTAATTATTGTCTAGTAGTCATAAAAGTTGATTGACAGTAAATAGTAAAAACATGATCAATATGGATAAAATGATACTCCTTCACCCTTTATCATTTACAATAATTTCAAAGGAAAAAAATTACCAAATAAATATCTGTCATATGTGTGAGACAGCTTCAAAGGTAGTGAGTGGTATAATAAAAAATCTAAGAAAAAAGGAAACATTCAAATTAGCGCATAAATAATGTAGAAGAAACAAAAAGTCCATAGAATTGACAATTTTTATCGAAAAATCAAGGCATCAGTGAATAATATGACAGTAAAATGATTGTATGTATCCATATGTACAAATAGGGAGACGGGGATTGTGTCATACTGTCGATCGTCGTATTTTAAACAAGAAAAATACAAATAAACAACAAGAATAATACTATTGAAAAATTGTCTATAAAAGTGAATATTGAAAATGATATGATCCATTGTTTAAAAAAATGTGTACGCATGAGCACACATTCATAATGTATGTATAAAAAAAAGGCATAAACGAGAAAATAAACCTCTTCAAAGAATTATTTGTATTTATTATCATAACTCAGTATCTCGTGGAACTCCGCCTAAACGAACGTAAGGGGAAGTACCTCTGAAATTTCTGTTCATCGGCACCATACCAGAATTAATACTTCTATTACTGCCAACACTATTATTCACTGGACTCCTCGGAGATTTTCGTGTTGAATTCATAGATTTTTTAGATTTTGGTGTGGTAGTATTAGCTGTTTTAGTGGTAGTTGATGATGAGTCCGAGTCGTGTAGTTGTACACATTTTGAATTTGATAATATAACTGGCTGGGAATAAAAACGTTTTTGAACATACGCTGTAGGAACGTAACCTATTTCTTGTGTTCGCTGTTTACGGCATACATGAAGCCAATCAGTGGTATCTTCTGTTGGATCAGTTGCCAAAATATAGAATTTTTCATTAGCCTCAAATGCCAAATAACACGGTTCGAAACCATCAGCTAGTAATTGTTTTGTTTAGAAGAAAAAAGAACATTTAAAACAGCATAGATTATTACATATTTAATTATATGATTGATTATATATCCGTTTGAATACAACGCTTCATTAGTCACAGATTAGAAAATATTTTGCAACTTATCTACACTTTTTTGGTGTCACTGGGTAAAGGAAACTGGTTGGAAATCGATAAATAATAATATTAGGATTGAATACTACTGTTAGTATACGGATAATTAAAAGATTCAGCAATATAAAGATTTGTACAAAATACTATAACACATTAAGTAGTAGTAGTAATGCTTGTTATGAATAATGATCAATTGAGAACTTTGTGTGCAAACTGATATAATTAGTTTCGTGAGAAATAAAGCCTAATAGAAAATAATCGTAGTTAATTCACCAGCAAAGATCTTGAAATTTGTGAGCTGCATAAGACTAAACATCTAGACTCCCCACCACTATACTTCAAGCCTACATCCACGCAAACAGTTAAAGAAAATAGATTATATGACTGAGAAGTTACTTCAAGTTTAGTTTAACCGTAGAAACCATATGTATTTATATCAATAAATATAGCCGTAACGTTCGGTTTACCTTTAAAAAAGATGTCCCCAGGAAACTAGTGATTAGTAAGTTCAATAAATTAAATCAGAAAGGAGCATAGATATGTTGAATGTACGAATGTAGCAAAAGTGCTGAGCAACTAGACGAGTTTCGTGCATTTTAAAGCTCCCATGGAATTCGAAACTAAAAACTATTAACATTTTTCTAACCAAATTATAGCTATCAGACTTTTGTAACATATTTCAAATCGATTTAGGTTGAGACAAAGAAGTTTCGAAGCAAAATAAGTGTGATATGGGTATATATCCTTTTATCTACTTAAAAGGGAGTTACTAATTAACACTTACCAATAGTTAATCATAGAGACATCTACTTTTGATGATGTAAATATGAGAATGTTAATGCATAGATCGTCGATTCTCAATAAAATAAAATTCAGTGAGCATACTGTGTATTCTACATTCGGTGTAATTGATACACAGAATTAACCAATTCAATTTTACTAACAAAAACAATGGTACAATAATTCAGACATATGATATGAAACGCACTACATAACGAAAAATTGTTTATCTACCGACAAACAATCAAAATCTGAAAATATATTTTTAGCGATAAACGGACAATTTCCGAGATTATATGCAATTACATATTATGTAACAAAACAAAACGTGAAAAAATGAGGCCAATTAGGTGCATATGGCTTGCAACTGGGACAGTCTATATGTCAATATATCAAATACAAACTATAAGTATCATTGAAATTTGAAGAGAGTTGAATCATTTTTAAAAATAAATGCAGGATTAATCATTTTAGGTCTTTCGCACCTATCCATCAATGTAATAGCTACGGTATATGCTACAAAAAAACAAAACACTTGTGTTCACATTCACAAAATGTACAACATAGATTTTAGTTACAGAAGATTTAAAATCCAATTACAGAATTCATAAACTTGTGTATAGTATGATGAATCATTTCTAAAATTACTTATGAAGAAACTAAGTAAGCATTGTTATTATTATTTCTTTGTTTCATCAGATCCAAACAGGAATACGGCGATTGATCAATTTTAAACCAAACAACGCTAGTAGTCACACCGACTGCCTCGACGAACTTTGTTTTGTGGTGTAGGAGTAGGTTGGAAGAAAGTTAGGGGCGGCCAAACCAAAACATGGCAGAAATCCATGAAGTCATTGACTAATGGACTGAGCCATGTCGGTAATTGTCGACTACCTGGTTGGGGTCCGCGAGATGATAATAATCGATGGTTAGAGACCTTGAATGACATGGCTCAAAATCGTTCGCAATGGCGCCAGTGCATTTATTCTCTGTGTTCTCTCAAATGCTAATCTTCTGGATTCTTCAACCCCTCTAGTTTCGACTCTCTAAACTTTTCTCACTGAATCATACTTCTTGAATAGTATCTTCTAATCCTAACCTCTCCGATTACTTCTAATTCCCTTACTACCTCTTCTACTATTGGATTTGAATTGACGATTACGTCTCTGTGCTGATGTGGTATGGCAACATGAACTGATGTACTTATGTACAAAGTTCTACGTTGCATCTGACTGACTGATAGGAAAGCTAAAGTTTCTTACGTAAATTCTGCAAAAACCCTAATGATTTTGTTCGTGCTTATTGAGATATACATTGTTTCATTTCAATTCCTGTGCTAAAAGAGTGAAGCCTGGAAAAGTGACTAACGAATACTAGATAACAAAGGAATAATACCAAATTTATATGATTATGTGCTGACAAACTGACACATTTATAACTATTGAAATATACATATATTGGGATTTTGAATGACATGGATGAAAATCTTTTTTCTTCTGCCAGATTTTAGGCTTCTGAGTTCTTCATAACTCCTTAATTTCACTCATTCATATTTTTAAAATGGTGTTTTCGATCCGTAATTATTTTTATTACCAGTGACCTTGTTACTACCTCTATTATTCTGATAATTTCCTCGACAATTTAATCTCACTGTGTTAATAAAATATGATATCTTGAACCGCTGTAAATGGAAACAAAGTTCCACGTTACAAAGATTGAGAGACGATATTTAATTTCTTCTGAACACAGCACCATAAATGTGTCATACTTTTCTTCCAGATTTTGATAAATAATTGGAAGAATCGCTTGAAGACTACAACACAAATCATTATGTTATTTAGTCGATGTAGGTTGTAACATAAATGTGAATCAGCCAACAATGTTATATTATATTAACAAAGCCACATAAAACTAATAAAATGAACAGAAAAGAACTTGCAATCATAGTAAGAAGAATTTAACACAGAATTATTTGAAGATGAAGGAATAAAATGAAACTATAAAAGAAGGAATCGCAAAATCCAAGTTGCAGATATAGAGAAAATGGCCTGAAACCTCTTTGGTTTATTTAAGTTTAGTTACTTATGGTCTCAAACTACTAGTTACAAATATCAGGCGAATTGTGTTGCACCTCTTTGATTGATGTCACCTTTTTTGGTTTGACTCATGGCTTTCTATCAGTTCACTCCTACGCGAGTCAGCATTGTACGTCATGACAGGTAGGTAGGTTATGGTTGGACATATGTGATAAATACTTTAGTTGCCATAGTCGGCGAAAATTTGCAGCCCCACTATACAATATGAAAAATTTGCCTAGTAGCGTAACTGTAACTTAGGCATTGCTAACGAACAAGTATATTTGTACTGAATAGAATATAGTCTAAACTCTGTCTAAAACAGATATAGACATTTTTATTTCGAAACAAAATTATAATGAATCATAGATTAAATATATAAATTTAATTACATATTAATCACTTGTACTTGAATTACTTCATGCATTAAAACACGTCACTCATTATTCCTCTTTGGTTACAACTACTTTTGCATAAAATTCATTCATTATATACAAAATCGGAATTCATCAAACTAGTTAAAGGTAAATAGTAATACAATAGTAATTATTCCATTTTATTTATATTTATTTAATCAACTATTTGATGATGCACTCTCTCTATACATAATTCACATAAAACAATACACACTGTTAAGTGATGTTAACCATATTATTCAGTAAACATTTTTTCTTATATGAGAGAAATCAATAATGGCAGGCATTATTGATCTGTTATTATTATGAGTGTAGGTTTAAGAACAAGTTTTTCGTTACCTTCATGTATATATATATATATATATATATATATTATATATATATATATATATATATAATGAAGAGAATTAAGGACACAGAGTGATTATTTGATATTTACTTATGAGGTCGTGATGAATGAATCATTGGGTTCTGGTACAAAGAAATGACTGTAACAAATTCTAGAATTTAATGGGATGCTGCCCGAACACCGAAACCGATGGTTTTATTAGGAGGCTACTCCCCGAGACTCATTCAGAAATCTAATCCACATGGTAGTGGAGCAATTTGAGCATATACAATCTCATGGGAACCGATGACTGACAATAAGTATGTACACCATTTGTTTCGTCAGGAGCCCAGAGCCCATGTACACTATTAGTTTGGAGTCACTGGTTTTACAACTCCCCTAAGTGGGTCCTCCATTAACCAGCAACATGGATAAGGCTCCGGACACTAGCTTTAGGTCCTCTCAATTTCTCAAATAATACCCTCGCCATGAGAAGGCAATGAGTAGGACTTCCCTGGCCATGGTTATATATGCATGGTCATATGAGAGCATTCTGAGAGGGAGAGCGAATTCTCCTCACTCTCAAGAGTACCACAGTATTGAGTCTTAATCTACTTCCTGTTTTCTTACAATATTTTCAATAGACTCTATTCAAAAACTAACAATGAACGCCCGACTTGTTACAGTCCAATCCTTATAACAGTGAAATAGATAATACTTCAGATTACAGGAGAATAAACTAAACATCTTTTGCAATAATTATTTTTTTTTTCTGGTTGGATACCGCACTATCCATCTTATAGTTGCTTTAATAATCTACTTTGTCTGTAATTAAGTAGACACGGTTACGAAATCTTTTCAAGATTCCGTGTTAACAATTGGTTTCGGGAGAATGGATAACAGGGTCATTTTTTTAAAACAATAAATGTATGGACCAACTCTAACTAATCGTATTTAACAATCAGCAACAAATTTAAAACTGGGCTTAACCATGTGTATAGTGTAAAAATATCAAATCTATTGGTAAGACATCATTATTAGATAAATATTGCTCAACAAACCAATAAGAAAATAGCCAAAACAAAGCTCTATTACTTTATGAGTTTAACATCAAATTACAACGAGTAAGCCTATGCTAGCAACAACAATCAACCGAATAATCTGAAAAAATATGAATTAATTTATTAAAGTCATGGTTATTTTCAGTAGACGCCAATAAAGCAGCTTGATATTCATTGATTTTATACTTGTGCAGTGATCCAATCACTGACATTGTTTGAGCGAACGAACGTTTTCCAGATTGTGCAAGATAATCAGTATACTTTTTTGTGTTAACTACTGCTAAACTATATACCAGTAACGAACTGCGTTGTAGAATTTCTAGTAGCTACTTATTACTAGTGTACGAATACATAAGTGATTAGTGATCAAGGTCTTAGTATACTCATCACTAAATCAATTCAAGAATTGTTAATTACAAAACAATCAAATTAATACCTTTATTTATACCTTCTTTCCCTTAAAAGTTGAAAGCAAGATATAAAATAGATAAATTCATTGAAGAAATACACCCTCGAATTATTAGTAGTATGTATAATAGATTTTAGTAATCATTATTCACTTAGAACTAATGTAACATATTATATAAATTAGGATTAGCTTAAATTGTCAAACTACATCTCAAGAGAGCGAAAAAAAAATCAATTAACACGTTGAAAATCAAAGCAGTCGGATAAACGATACCAACGATAATAAAAAAAAATAAAACAGTGAAACCCTATCCGATAACAAAAAAATCAAGTCACAAAATCAAAAGTATCAAAAAATTATGATAATAAGTTCATGAGTTGAAAGGAAATGAAATAAGTACCTTTTTACCACTGAAATCTATTCTGAAACATGTCTTCAACAACAGATTATAATCATCAGACAGACTATCATCAAAATGGTTTTTCGTGACTTAGATCAACAGATGATAACTGATAACATATCATCTGGTAGCTGCTAACGTTTCTTCAATCTAGCTTTCAGATTACTAGACAGGATTATCGGGAAATCAATGGATATAGATATGAGAAACATTTCAAACCGAATTAATGTACATGACTATCTACAAACTAATCAATTGATTAACATTCTACATTACTGACTAGGGTGATTTTATTATGGTTCAAAGCATTATTAAACATACTTTTTAAAAAGAAAACTAAAATCTTGAAAAAAAAACGAATAAAGTAGAATCAACCATCTTCTTACCTGTAAATGGATATAAGGCACAACAATCACCAACAGCAACGATTTGTGATTCTTTTGATTGTCCATTATTATTATTATGATTATGACTATTATTATCATCTTGATTGTGACAATAACTAGATGATATTGAACTAGTGGAATCGACATTATGATCTATTGTAGATTCAACCACTCGTTGTTCATGTTTAAGGTGATGACGTAATGACTGGTCCTGTGGCTGTTGTTGTTGTTGATACTTATGTAGTTGCGAGTACCAAAGTTCTTGCTGTTCATGCTTTTTTAAAAGATTTATATTTTGATTATATGAAACTTGATTTGAATTTTTTAATTCATAATGATTAAATGATGAATTCATTTGAGAATATTTTAATGTATTATTATTGTGATTAGAGTTTATATCGGTATGATGAGAATTTCCATTTAACATTGAGTGTCTACTATTATCATCATTATTATTCATTACAGTTCTGTTAGTTATTAAATTTTGTTTTAAATTAAGCATTTGACCGTTCAATGTTTCAGGTGGTCGATTAAATGTTGATGATGAAGTTTGTTGTGAAAATGATTCAACTGGATTTACAATAGAAGCACTTTCCTGTTTAGCTAAAGGAGCAGTAAACAATTTATCCTGTTTATCGAAACTACCTGATGTAGCAAGACAATGAAGAGGAATGGAAGACTTTTCACGACCTAATGATAAACCTCTCACTTGCGAATCAGAACACGAAGGAAGAGAGTGGGAAGGAGCATGATTGGTTGTTGTTGTTGTTGCTTTAACAACACGAATAGTAGAAGTAAGAATATCATTGCCAGGAGATTGATATGACATAGCCGTAGAATGAGGTAGTCCATTTAGGACAGATGTTGTTGCATAGGCTACATTTTCACTGTCAGTAGTTGAATGAATTCTAAATTTTCGTCTCAAACTATTAGTGTTATTGGTTGTTTTATCACTTGTATGATTATTATTTTCGAATTCAGAATTTGAATCAGAGAAATCACTGGCATCTGTAACTGTATTATCTTTCGGTCTATCAACACTGCTAGTAATTCTAGGATTATGAGTTCCTCTTCTTTTTGAATCGAATAAACTGAAATAGAAAAAGTAAATTATTAAAATTAAAATATTTAAAAGACAAAAAAAGTAATTAAAAACTACGGAATTTTTCAAAGTTCATGATGTTAGCAACAATCATCATATTGGAATGAAATTCAATTACATCACTCATAAATATTAACAGATTCTCTCTGAATAACTTTTAAAAATAAAGTTTTCCTATGACTTTACACCTTCTTGAAACAGATCTTTTCATTCATGAAGAGATTTTTCCTGAACTATATATTTTTTTCAATTCAATATAATTTGATGATGATGATGATGACTGTAAAACTAGTTTACCATACAACAATTTAAGTGAAGAACAACTTGGACGAATTGTTTATTTATATGACACATTTACATTTTGGTACAATTATTAGTTGACAAAAAAGATACTCAATCTAAAAATAAGGCAGTGAAATTGTAAACAAAAACGGGAAAACAATGAGTGTATATAAAGGACTGTCTGAATCGGTGTAAGTTAGTATTGGGTCATTGTTTGAGCGCACAGAAGCTAAGTTTCCGGCCTAGTTGTATATTGGTTAGTGAAAGGTTATCTGCGAATGTGTTCGCGAAAGTAAATAACAAACCAATAGCAGCATCGCCAAATAATTCAAAACATTGAATACACTGAAACAACTGTTGTAATACATGTCCAACCTACCGAAGTAACTGTTTGAAAACTTTTATACTAAATGAATTATCGTCACTCTGCCTGAACACATATTTCCAAATTTCAACATTACTATGATAGAGTTGGCTCTGCATGCCAACAGTTCTTCAGATACAACGGTTACTAAACACAGATAGTTGCCAAATAGCCTCAACTTTTTCATAAACAAAGAGCCCAATCGCACTTACCGATGTGTTAAAAACCCAACCTCTTGTAGCCAGATTAACATCAAGACTACGCTTAAAATAGCCCAGATTAGCACAAACCACTCTGGCTTTCTAAATGTGTACATTGATTTTATCTGTCACGTCACCAACACCACTCATACTACTTAGATATCCGAATTTCCAGACTTATTCTAAAGGCCTATCACAAAGAGTAACTGGAGACAAAGACTCCTGTCAGCCTCGTAGAAGTATATAGAATTCAGGTGCAAAGCGCATGCCATCAATGGCGGATACTTATTAACCGAATCTTATAAAGCGTATACATCACTGCATATTATGACAATAGCATATGTATACTCAAGTTCTGGATGATCCTAAAAGTCAAGCGGTGATGATCGAAATTCTGTTTTTGATGTGAACTAGTAAAACTAACAGGTACTAATTTTTGGAATCAAGGCTTATATCTGTACATTTGATACATATCACTCTTTAGAAAATTAGCCAAACTTTGAGAAGTAATTAACTGATGCTACTAATACTGAACTTTTTAAACGATTAGTATTCTTTGAAAAACTGGATCGGGAATATCGTGCAATTATTAATGATGCATTTAGTTCTTAAAACATTAAAAATAATAGAAATGATAATGCGTAATATCCCAGTGATTTGAAATGTTGAAATTTATCTGATGATTCGTAACCTAACGTAAACCACTTCTTTAGAGAATAAACAAAATCACTCAGATATATTATTCCTATTGTTACCAATCCACCCAATGCCCAATTTATTTGAAATAATCAAGTCAAACCTTGGTAATGATATCTAAATAAAAATAGATAACTGCGTCAACCAAGCATTGGACATATTACGGTTAGAAAGACTCCTTAATAATTAAATGTTATAAGTTTGCATCAGCCCCTGATGCAAACTAGTTAGTATGAGACAAAATAGTGCACATACATAGCTCAGCAGGATCTAAGGACCTTCAGTCTTGTGATAAGCGCTTAACCACTAGATCACTGAGATACCAACTAATGGTGAACATATCTAGTTTCAATCCATTCGCAATACCATGAGACCATTAATTAATAACTATTCACTAACTTACAAACTGATTTAGGCTATCTGGCCAAAACACACTTTTAAAACAAACGAAATTGCGTGAACTATCGTGATAACTAGTTTTCTTCCATCGAAAACCAAAGAATCCTTTCAAGGATCACCTCAAGGATCTCGAGGTAATAAATGGAGTATGAAATCATTGTTAGTTAACGGTGACCATGGTGTGATGAAAGAAGACTTCAAGACTACATGCGATAAGCAATTTAATAAAAGAAGACGGTTTACTGGCAAAATATGTACAACTTATCTTCAGACTTCACTTGCGAAACAAGCAGATTCTTGGCTATCTTCCTTCACATGTCTTCTAATCTTCAAAAAACTGATCGCATTGTACATCTGGATCCGACACTCTTCACTTCATTAGTAACTTAAATGCGACACTCCGCTACATGCTACTTGTAAACCACGTTGCAATTCGTATACACCATAAAGGGGGAACATCTCCAGCCTTGTGGATTAGACATATGGGTCAAAGGCTCGGGGAAAACCCATCTAAGAAAACTGCTCGATTTGTTTAAGGCACGTGAACACTATCCTATCTACACACACAAATTCATTGGTTTGTGTGGCGCATAAATATTTAGGTGCCCCTTTCTACTAATGATTATGTGTTTAAATGAAATGAATCAAACAGATTTGTGTCAGATGCTTCTCGACAATCGCCAGTGTATGTGCAAGGACGTACGATACAACGAAACTACTTGAGCCACATAAGATGAAGTCGGGTTTATACATGTTTTTCAGGTGGCCCAAATCAATCGAGTGGTTTTATTATTCAATCACGGTAGCATAACAACATCAATCTATGTTGGTGTCAAATGGTTCGAACTGGGTTTTGTGCTAGTTGGTATTTGCTAGTCAAATAACAATTTGATCTGACAGTTTTGTCCTTAAAACAATTAGTCCCTTTTATAAATTTTGATAGAACAGTGAGAAGACGTAATTGATCTGAAAAATGTGATGTATTTGCGCTATACATTTCGAACAATCTGGTCACACATATTTACTTGTCAAGGCATTTTATATGAAGATGAATAAAAGGTCAATTAAATAAAAGTTTAAATAAGCATAGGGTGATAATTGTAAATAAAGGTGAGAGAAAATTAACGTCATATCAAAAGAATAAGAAGGGGTAGGAAAATTGTCTTTCCAGTAGAGATTAAATCAATGTAACATTTATTACTACTCAGTGATTAATTATTGCAGAAATCAAATTGTAATATATTGCACTAACTCTATGCGCACCTTAGCTAGTAGTAAGTTATGAATTAAAATAAAAATGCACTTGCAGAAAATTTCATACTGAATAGTATTTTGGATCTTGAGGCAACAATTACAGACTTATTATTATTATATAATGATACTGATTAATATTCTAACAGACATATTGAATAAAATACATTTCAAAATTATCATTTGTAAAAATATTAAACAAGAAGAAAAATAAACAAACTAGTTTGTATATACATATATGTATATATATATATATATATATATATATATACATGCAAACAAATTCAGTTATATTATTACTGTGTGAATGCTCATTGATTCGATTAGATATTTAATAACAGTGTTATTAGTTAATTAGATGTGGTGGTGGTGGTGGTAATAATAATAATAATTATTATTATTTTTATTTATTTACTTATTCAATCTTCTCATATTAAACATTGCTTGCATGAATCACAGACGCAACCTGTTTCAATCTAATACAAAAACACACTAATGAAGTATTGAAATGTTGAAAAATTCTAATTCTATTTCACAATGCTCATATATATATATATATATATATATATATATATATATATATATATATATATATATAGAATATCGGCACTTTTGGTTGAGAATAATAACAAATCAAAAAAAAAAACATACAAATACATTGCTATCGACTTTTGTCGATAAAAAAATTTCAGGAACACTTGTTTGTATTATAATGAGATCATATGATTAATAATGACTATTTGATAAAGATGCTGTGTCACAGTAAACTGAGAAAAAATAATAATAATAATCAAATAGATTATTGAGGGCTTTTTTTTGCATACAAAATGAAAGACTATTCTCATTTCGGACTTGTAGGAACACTCTGTTGCTGAGTTGTCCCAGACAAGAATGAAGCCGGATTTCAGTATGTTTCTAGCAAATAACAGTAATTGATGATGAAACACCAATAGCTAATAGTTAATTAACCATGTTGATATTTAATTTTCTATTGTATTCACACTTACCTACATAAACTTTAATTGTAAATAGTTAATAATGTGTTTAGTTGTCGGATAGAATGAATAGAATTTGTTTAGGAAAAAGCGATTTCACTATATTTTGTATATTAAACGAAAGTGCATTATGTTGGATGTATAAATATGTAATAAACATGGGCCAAATCAATTCGCTAAAAATAACTGATAATTTATGCTGTTAAGGAATTATTATTGAATGTAACTATGGTACATGTGTTTTTCTCTCTGTGTATCTACGATTAGCGTGAGTATCGAGTTGGATGGTTTGCCTTTGATTTTTATGTAATGAATAAGTACTTGATTGTGTACATCTGTATGTGTTTATCCCTGTGAACTATATTATCTTCTATAGTAATACTTATCTACTAGTCGAGAATCTTCATCTAACTAATCAGGTTAATTATTGGATTTTGACTGCGTACTAAAATTCGACCCCCACCCCTAGTAATGTAGTCAAACTTTCCCAGGATTACAAAGAGATAAATGAAATGGTTTCAGTTGGATTTCCATACTATACAAACTTTTAGTACATGAAGAACCAACTATTCTAAGTTAACACTGATGTAAGTTCCAAACACTGACGTCAGTGTACTAGTATACTCAGATCATATAACTATCACATATCCACAAAGAAAAGATAAGGAATTGAGAGATAAAAATGACTCATCTACAATTTGTCAACTATGGGTAACTATATGTATGTATGCATTTGACATCAAATTTTCGTCGTTTACTATCTTCCTATGGAAGATAATCAAAAAGCCTAAATTTGTGCATATTTAGTATGATAACGTGGGAATTATTTGACGTATTGTGTTCCTTTCACATAAACTGAACAATGAAATTAAATTACTGTGAAAAAAATTCTCTCTCGATCGTCCTCCCTAACTTTTAATTTGGTGGTCAAACTCCAAGAGAAGTTCAATCAACTACAATTTCAAAACCCACCGCTAATTTATTTATTATCAAAGTCCAGAAAAAAAAGTTGATGTAGAGCATCATGTGTTAAAATATATATATATATATATATATATATATATATTATGTGTTTAAAAAAAGTGTTCAGTTAACAATTCGCTTCATTAGACTGAATTGTTTATGATCATGTATGAAATGTGAGAAACTACCAGCAAATTCATTTGCTGATTATTTGTTTCAAATTACTGGACTTTAATTGTTGTTATATGTAAGAAAATTAAACACATTGTTTTTTTTGTTACAAGACGTCCAACTAAGACTTTATTTCCTACTTATCAGACTAAGTCGAACTGTGAAAGTGACAAAGCAACTGATAAGGCTTCTTTGGTTCCTAACTACAGTGATTCAAACCATTCATTGTGATAAAATATATAATCTAAAAAGAAAAATCAATAAAACGAAAGTACATAAAAGAAATTATATAAGATAAATAAAAAATTATCTCTTACCAAGTGGTTTGAATTGTTTGTTGACGTTTTATTCGACCTGGATCGCATAGATCTGCGATTGTTTTCAAATTTACCACACTCTAAAAACAAAACAAATTAAAAGAAGGAGAAATAATCAAAAAGAACATGAGTTGAAATTCATCCAAAACTATGAATGAACCAGCTGGATATTCAGCAAATAATTTATATAATGAAATGGATGTCATTTGAGAGGATCGATCAGTTAACAGCTATTTTAATTCAAATTGAGTATGTTTTCGAGTAAGGCACATTTTCAACAACTTACATCATCTCATGTACCATGTGACAAGCGAATTACCATAGTACAATTAGTGTTGCTGACTGTATATAAAGTGTTTTAATATATTTTGTAATTGTAGAGAAACGATAACGTTTAGTGCATTTATTATATTCATCTACTGAACAATAGTAGATGTGTGTTGAATATATGAAGGAAAAAAAAATTGAACAGATAAGCCAATCATGATTGTAATCAAAAATTACATTTACTTGTGCATTTGTGCTCGATAATGGTGAAAACAAATAGACGAAATCCATATATCAGTAACAAACTACATAATGATAGCAACAAAAAAAAATCTAAGCCAAAAATATATACAGATTATATTTAAGTGTACAAAAACTAAAGTTGTATAATGGCATATGTGATAGAGATAGTGTGCAAATGCAAAATATTCAGTGATCAGAAAATAATAAATAGATTTTTAAAAAAGAAAATAGATGAAGCTTGTCAAACAATGAACACAGAAACACATCATATCTAATACAAACAATACCAGATCTCCAGTACTATGTGAAGCTCGAATATCCAAAGGACTTTGGATAGTGATTGCATCATCATTGCTGTTGTTGTTATTATTAATATTATTGTCATAATTAGTTGTCGGCTGATGATGATGATGATGAATAAACTTTAATTGATGAGGGGAGAATTTCTTACGAAAACTATTAATTCCACGTGTTTTATAATGTTGTTGTTGACGTGAACTTCTACGCCATGGAACAACAGGTTCAAAAAATGGATTCGACCAACCTGATACAACACCATCTCCATCAGAATTAACTTCACAATTTACATTCAATGAATTGTGCTGATGAAATAAATTAATTTTAGGTTGTTTTTTTTACATAGTTTTCGATGTAGCAAATACAACCCAGTATGAGTGTATAATCAAAATAAAATAAAGAAAAAGACATTGAATTAATTGTTCACATATTGGCTGATAAATATGAGTTACATACAATTTAATTATGTTGTCATTAGTTAGTTAAGTAGAATAACTATAGAAAGAAAACAGATTATCACATAAGTTATGGTTAACATTAACTGCAAGAAATGTGAACAGCAATAAGCAAAAATATTTAGATAACCAATATCCTACTGTTTTAATGAACAGTTAGTTGCCAGACTACAACCCAAAGTTTACAGTGTGAAGGACTGAGACATTATGATCACAAGTTCGAATGGAAAAAATTTAAAACATATCAATGAGTGAGACCTCAAACCATCTACCTGATTTTAAAGTCAGAAATTCAAGATGATATGACACTCAAACATTGTATTTATTCCTATGAATATCAATCAATTTGTTTTCAAACCTACGTTTGCACAGGTTTCATAGTAAAATAACTGTAATGACAGAAGAAAATGAACTAGTGTGAATAAATGACCAAGAAGAGGTTATTCCCCTTCATAAAAAACTCCCATATGATGTAAAGATGTCAGAAGACAGGAAAACTAACCAATAAGTTTTCTTTCCAGTGAAATGATACATTTATATACAAATTATTGAATAAAAAATGCATGTGATGGTAAAGTTATGTGAAACATAAAATATTGGATAGTGTCAGCTTCCTAAACCCCACAACGCCTACAAAATCAAAGCTAAACTACCAGGCTTAATTTTCGCCTGTTATATCTCAATAATAATCGATTTGCTGAACTTTAACAAAATTTTCCATGACCCCATTTAAACATCATCTTGTTGACAAAAACTATTTACCCAGAGAAAATCACCAAATGACTCTAATCAGTTAATGAAACCAATGACCGGAAATTTGAGACATACATTAGGTTCTAAGCTTCCTCATCAGGATTAGTGAGAAATTAGTAACTTCTGATTCAAGGTCATATATGGGATGGTTCAAAATACATATAACGGTAACTTCATAAAAAGTTTCCCTTTTAAATTTACATTCTATAATTTTTGTTAGGGGCCAACGCATTGTCATAAATGATTGTAAATTCGTAATTTTTCTAAACTACCGTTAAATTTTAATATGCCATTTTATCTTTAATAATTTCTATATAGGTTAGTCCCATTATGTTATTTTTTATATTTCAATTTTTTTTTTCTCTTCCTCTCTCTGTGCTGAACTGATAAAACAATCAAAAATCGGTAAGTATCACTTTGCCTTGCATAGTTATGCTGATCATATTGTTGTAAGTCGGAACTTTGCTCTATCTGGTGTGACATGAACATTAGGTTGACATAACTTATACGCAACTCGTGTGGCTACATGAACATCTCCTTAATTAGTGAGCAATATCACTAGCACAAGCTGTATTCATTCAAATATAAAGGATTTATATCATAGACTGGGAAACACATCAATAAACTTGAATCGCGATGTTTTCAAATAAATTTAATGTTGCCTGAAAATGTTAGCTGTGATCCACCGAGAAGCAATGTTAGTCATAAACATGACTTAGATATGATTGACCAATATTCTATTACAAAGGACTTCATCCAAACTAATATTTGTGTCAATATGAATTTTTCTCATCAATATCTACCTTAAACGATTAGATAGATAGTATAGCCAATATTAAAATTATAATGAAGCTATTAGAAAAATGAATCTCTCTTAACAACCATTCAGAGCAAAACGCAAACTGAATTGTTTAAAATAGTGAGTGAATTTAACATAGATGTGTATAAAAAGACCCTGTCAGAGTATCTAATAATCTGAAAAACAATTGTAATTCGTTTACTTATAAGCTGGGTGAAGCTTATTATCAACGGACTGAAAACAAACACTTATTGACATTGAACAAACTGTCCACTGTTGAACATATGCATGAAGTGCTTATAGAAACTAAGCTAGTGAATGCCAAAACCTAAGCACCTATCATCTTAGTCTCCATTTGTATGAAACGAGGTTAAGTGTTTTTTTCTTTATTGACTAGTCAAATAGAGTTAAGCGTCGTTTGCGGTATCAAAAGCAAATATGATGCTGCATCAATTTATTTTAGAACAGACAGAGAGAATATATACGTAGCAGAATAACAGTGAACAATAGATATGGGAGTTAACCTAAATCTTAAAGAGAAATCTAGATCAAATTTTAAATGTCCTTAAAAGTTTCAATAGTTAATGTGAAATTTTCATATGTTTTCTATTAACCATTTGTTTATGTTAAGTCATATCATACCATTGGTAATAGTATGATTAACAGTAATAGTAATATTGATAAGTAATCATAAGCTAAGCAGAATAACGATAGTAACGAATAAATAAAAATTAATGTCAGAAACGATAAGAAGACAGTAAGGATAAATAAATAGTGAGTAGTTGATTACATAAATTTTAACCACACCTAATCATGAGAAAAACATGCAACTAATCGAAATGAGAAATGTTTGGGGAAAGGATGACGTTAGTAGATGCAAACAGAACATTGCTTATTAATCAATAAAAAGCATGAGTCAGTTGTTTATTTCATCAAGTGATTATTGATAAGAATATTTATAGGGATTGACTCGACTATGGCTGCTATTTTGACAAGGTAATCAATCATTTGAAATCATTAATCAATCATCATTGTTAGACCACCATTAGAAACCTGGAAGCACTGGACGGCCGTTTCGTCCTAGTATGGGACTCCTCAACAGTGCGCATCCACGACTCCTGCTCCTCGCAGGATTCGAACCCGGGACCTTTGGCATTGTAGGCGAACGCCCCAATGTAATTAATCATGCCTGGGTGCAGGCAGTCAGGAAATGACAACTGGCTGCATATAATAATAATAATAATAATAATAATAATAATAATAATGGCTCTATTCAATATTATATGTTTCGTATAATATGGAATTTTCAGTACCGAATATTCCAACGAGTTTCCTTTACAGAACAATCAGTGATTGGCAATCGGAAGTTAGCAGTTCAGAAATCGATAATCTTGTTAACGTTCAATCTTTCCTGCAAGCCACTGTGACGTCTTGTATTGGACTTTTTGTACTTTGTCAAGCGATAGCGCGTAAACATTTTATATATGCGCCTCAATAGGTTATGCAATTAGTAAACATGATTGACGTATTGAAAAAAACGAAAAGAAGTAACTTGTTGCGACGTTTTAACTTTAGGAAACAGGTAGCCCAAATATTCAAACTGGAAGCCAGTAAAAAAAACACATCTTTAGTAGGACTTGACATAATCTTGTCCACGCTTAAATTTGTTCTCTTTTCCTAATATTTTTTGTATCCATACTATCAATCCTTCTATAATGGTTTCATCTTCATCCTCACGATTTACTGAAATGTCGTTCCTAGTTTCCTGAAAACGTATACCAAACTTTATCGCAAACCGAAGATAATAGATTTTACTAGCTAGGACTTAAAATAATTGTGCTATTGTAGTAGACTGTACTTCTGAAACCCTTTTAAAGAATTAGAATTGATTCATTCAACTAATTCAACCTAGGCAATAGAGGAGTCGTTGTGATTTAACCTTTGTATAAATAGAGATTTAAGTTGAAGTAGGTAAAGTATTAATTTCCTAAGTAGAAAACGTTTTCTGGATTGGATTTTAAAAATTTACTTAAATTACTCCTAATAAACTGCCTGACTAAATAACAAAATGCCACCTTTTCGGAGGAAAATTCCCGAAATAAATTTCCGCTTACCTATAGGAAAGCATATTGCTAGGCCGTAATAAAAGACTAGCCTAAGCTGAACAAAATGTAACACAAAAAATACACATACATACATACATATACATCTTTGAATCGCTGAAGATCTGACTTTCTTTCAAAAAAACAAAGCAATTAAATCGATG